AGGAGCTCAATTCGTTAGGGGACTTTTAGACATGGTATAGAACACACCTCAGGGTTATCCCACCCCGAGAGAGGGTTTTGAAGAATTTATCTGCTAACTCTCCATCTATCATTGGTTGAGAGCTGCTCTGGGTATATTAACTCCCTGAGACATCTGGCTTACCTTACACACGTGTGAAGTAATAGAGATTTGCAGTTTGTCCATAACATAGAATATCAGTGTGTGGAGGGGAGTGGAAATAAGCAGGGCACCAATAGCCTCTAACACAGAGTGAGAAGTGGATCTTTGCATGAGAGGTCAGCAAAGACCTCTGAACAGATGACATTTTAGCCGAGATCCAAAATATGAAAAGAAACCATCCTCGAGGAAGGCACACTTCCAGGAATACAAAAATACAATACAAAATACAAATAATAACAAATCCCAAAACTTTACAGACACAGGGTGGGAGAGGGAGGTGTCTTTGAGGCATGAAGTTGTTCATGGCTAGATCTTTTATTTTTATTATTATTATTTTTTATTGTTGAAAGTATTACAGATATCCCTCTTTCTCCCCATGGACCCCCTCCTCCCTGCTCCCACCTGCCTCCTGCTTTTCCCAACCTAATGTCTGTGTCCATTGGTTGTGCATATATGCATATAAGTTCTTTGGTTTATCTCTTCTCACCCTTCCCACCCCCCATCTCTCTGAAGTTTGTTAGTCTGTTCCCCATTTCCATGATTCTGGATCTCTTGTTCATTGTGTTCCATAAATAACTGAGATCATGTGGTACTTGTCTTTCTCTGACTGGCTTATTTCACTCAGCATAATACTCTCCAAGTTGCTCCATGTCATCTCAAAGGGTAAGAGATCTTTCTTTCTTGCTGCTGCATAGTATTCCATTGTGTATGTGTACCACAGCATTTTTATCCACTCATCTACTGATGGGCACTTGGGCTGCTTCCAGATCTTAGCGATTGTAAATACCACTGCTATGAATATAGGGGTACATATATTCTTTCTGATTGGTGTTTCAGGCTTCTTAGGATATATTCCAAGCAGTGGGATCACTGGGTCAAATGGCAGTTCCATTTTTAAATTTTTGAAGAAACACCATATTGTTTTCCATACTGGCTGCCCCAGTCTGCATTCCCACCAGCAGTGTGCTAGAGTACCCTTTTCTCCACATCCTTGCCAACACATGTTGTTTGAGGATTTGTTGATGGTGGCCATTCTGACACATGTGAGGTAATATCTCATAGTCATCTTAATTTGCATCTCTCTTATGATTAGAGATGTTGAGCATTTTTTCATATGTTTCCTGGTCATTTGTATGTCCTGTTTGGAGAAGTGTCTATTCAGGTCCTCTGCCCATTTTTAATTGGATTGTCTTCCTTTTGTTGAATTGTATGAGTACTATATATATTTTGTATATTAACTCCTTATCTGATGTATCATTGGCAAATATGTTCTACCAGAGAGTGGGTTTGCTCTTCATTTTGATGCTGGTTTCTTTTGCCATGCAGAAGCTTTTTAGTTTGATGTAGTCTCATTTATTAATTTTTTCCTTTATTTCTCTTGCCCTAGGCAATGTATCAGTGAAATTCCACTATGTATGATGTCTGAGATATTTCTGCCTACATTTTCTTCTAGGATGTTTATGGTTTTACGGGTTACATTTAAGTCTTTTATCCATTTTGAGTTTATTTTTGTGTATGGTGTAAGTTGGTGGTCTAGTTTCATTTTTTTGCATGTAGCTCTCCAATTTTCCCATCACCATTTACTGAAGAGATTATCTTTTCTCCATTGTTTGCTCTTTCTTTCTTTGTCAAATATTAATTGTACATACTGTCTTGAGTCAATACCTGGGTTCTCTGTTCTGTTTCATTGATCGATATACCTGTTCTTGTTCCAGTACCCGGCTGTTTTGATTACAATGGCTTTGTAGAATAACTTGATATCTAGTATTGTGATCCCTCCCACTTTATTATTCTTTTTCAAAATTGCTGTGGCTATTTGGGCTCTTTTATGGTTCCATATAAACTTTTGGAGTTTTGTTCTAGATATGTGAAATATGCCCTTAATACTTTAATAAGGATTGCATTGACTCTGTAGATTACTTTGGATAGTATGGACATTTTAATGATGTTGATTTTTCCAACCCGTGAAAATGGTATATGTTTCCACTTTTTTATTTCTTCTTCTATTTCTTTTTCCAATGTCCTGTAGTTTTCTGAGAACAGGTCTATTACCTCCTTGGTTAAGTTTATTCTTAGGTATTTTGTTGTTGCAATGGTAAATGGAATTGTTTTTTTAGTTTCCCTTTCTGAGTGTTCATTATTGGTGCATAAGAATGTTATCAATTTCTGGATGTTAATTTCGTGTCCTACTACTTTGCCAAATTCATTTCTTAAATCTACTAAATTTTTGGTGCAGTCTTTAGAGTTTTCTATGTACAATATCATGTCATCTGTGACAGTTTCACTTCCTCCTTTCCAATTTGGATCCCTTTTATTTTTTCTTCTTATCTAATTGCTGTGGCTAAGACTTCTGGTACTATGTTAAATAAGAGTGGCAAAAAGTGGACATCCCTGTCTTGTTCCTGTTCTTCAGGGAAGTGCTTTTAGTTTTTGCCTATTGAGTATGATGTTGGCTGTAGGTTTTTCATATATGTCCTTTATTGTATTGAGATATGATCCCTCTATTTCCAAGCATTTTTACCATAAATGGGTGCTGGATTTTGTCCAATGCTTTATCAGCGTCTATTAGTATGATCATATGGTTTTTATGTTTCATCTTGTTTGTATGGAGTATCACATTTATTGATTTGTGACTATTGTACCAACCTTGCCTCTCTGAGATGAATCCCACTTGTTCATGGTAAATTATTATTTTAATATATTGCTGGATCTGATTTGCTAATATTTTGTTAAGGATTTTGGCATCTGTGTTCATCAGGGATATTACCTATAGTTGTCTTTTTTTTTTTTTTTTGTAGTGTCTTTATCTGGTTTTGGAATTAGGATTATGCTGGCCTCATAAAATAAGTTTGGAGGTCTTCCTTCTTCTTGAATTTTTTTGGAATAGTTTGAGGAGAATGAGTGTTAGTTCTTCTTTGAATGTTAGTAAAATTCCCCTGTGAAACTGTCTGGGCCCAGGCTTTTGTTTGCTGAGGGTTTATTGATTACATCTTCAATTTCCTTAGTTGTTATTGGTCTGTTCAAGTTTTCTGTCTCTTCCCAGTTCAGTTTTGGGAGACTGTGTGACTCTAGAAATTTGTCCATTTCACTTAGGTTGTCCAATTTGTTGGCGTATAATTGTTCATAGTATTTTTCATAGCTAAATCTTTTAAATAAAGAAACTAGATCAAATCAGGGAGAAATTAAAAGACTTGGACTGGCAGAGCTGGGACTAGTGCTCAGGGCTCCTTGCACACGCAATCCATCAAACTGCTTTCCCTGCTCACTCTCCCATTTTACTCATTAGGATTCAACAATTTTCCCAAGACTTGGGGCCCAAAGGGCACTGACCTTATGACCCTAGCTCAAATTCCTGCAGTGGGCCAGCAACAACACCTAAAAACAAAAAACCTGAGTTATCACAAAGATCTATGTGAACAGTCATGGGAGGCCACTCTGGCCACATTTTGTGCCGTCTTTTCCTCTCACTCACGATGTTACAGCCATACCAGACTCCTCCCTGTTTCTGGAACATGCCAAGCACCCTCCCAGCTCTGAGATTTTGCTCACAATGTCCTTCCCCAGATGTCCCCATAGCTCACTCACAAGGTTTCTCTTCACTCGCGTCCCTGTGCCAACACTACCTCTTCAGGGACGCTCATCCTCATCATGCCAAATCATGACCTCATCCTCCTCTTCCCTGTGTCTTGTCCAGTTTTATCTGTCACCATAGGACTCGTTGCTACTGCATAGCATGCTCTACTAGACAACTGTTTATACTATGCTTCATATGTACTTGTTTGTTTATTATCTGTCTTGCCCACTAGAATGTAAGCTTCATGAGAGAAGGAACTTGTTTTATTCACTAGCAGAAAAGTGCTTGATAGGTTCTCAGAAATGTTTGTCGAATGAGGAGTGAGTGAGTGAGTGAACAGCCTCTGAAGACCTTAGTTCTGGTCCCCCCTCTGCTATTAACTCATTGAATGACTTTGTGAAAGTTGATCCTCCATCTCAGTTTCTACATTTGGCAAATAGACATATACTGTTTACCTCATACACTCATAAAGTGCAATGTGGCCAAAGGTATGAAAGTACTATACATTATGGAATAGATTATACAAATATAAGATTTCCTGTTTAAGTCCAAGGCTTCCAGAGTTTAAATGAGCTTTACCAAATGGGGAGAAAAGTTTCATTCCCAATAAAGAATCCTTTATGGGTGTTAGGGTTGATCAGATCCCACTGAATAGAGAGCTAGTCTGTGGTGCAAAAAAGAGCACAGGGCAAGGGATGATCAGAATCCAGCCTCTTCTGTCGACTTGTGGTGACTTTGGGGAGCCCACACTTGGCCCTAATGGACTTCATGTTCCTATTCTCTCAAAGGGGTGCAGGGTAGGGGTGGGAGAAGAAACATCTCCTTCCTATGTTTTCTATTCTGTTCCATATCTATGGGATCATAATAATCTCAGTCATGATTTACTGACCACTCCATCTGCACCATGCACTCAACATATATCACTGCATTGCTTTCTCCTCCTAACCTCCACTATTCAGACAAGAGACCATCAGGAAACTCAATCCAACATAGTCTTACTAATGGCTGTGAGCAGTAGAGGCATCATTTCAACCCAGGCCTGGCTGGCTCCTGAGCAACACTCTTAACCACTGGGCTAACTTTGTGCACAGAAAGAAGGGAGGCACAGCTGTCTCTCCACTTAGTCAGTTTCCACCTGTTCCAATGATAGGTGGAACAGGATGGAAAATCCTGTGATTCTGTAACGTGGTTAAATGGATTTATCCAGCTAATATGTTCTGACTTCTTCTTCTTCCTCCCTGCACAGGGTTTCATGGACATTGACTTAAACAAATTCAAGGAGAGTGGAGCAAATGTGACAGGTTTCCAGTTGGTGAACTACACAGACACCATCCCAGCCAAGATCATGCAGCAGTGGAAGAACAGTGACACTCGAGACCACACCCGGGTGGACTGGAAGAGACCTAAGGTGAAGGGATGGGCAGCAGACAACAAAAGACCCAATTGGTCCCATTGCCTGCCTCAGATTTCTGCACAATGTTAGCTGTGAGATATGGAAAGGCTTTCTAAGAGAAACGCCAAGGAAAATATATCCATAAAGATTGAGGATACAAAGATCAGACAATCCAGAATGACAATGGTTTGAACAAAACAGACATTTTGTTTTTCTCTCATATAAACAAAATTCAGAAGTCAGCGATTTAGGGCTTCTATGACGGCTCTATAATCATCAAACACTCAGGAGTCTACTATTCTCATATTCTGCTATTCGTAGCATATGGGAGCTACCTTATAGCCCAAAAGGGCTGCTGAATCTCCAACCATCACCTCAGTATTCTACCCAGCAGGAAGGGGAAAAGGAAAATAAAAAGCACAACTGTTTCCTATAAGAACCCTTTTTCAGAACTTACACACAGATCTTCCATTCACATGCTACTGGCTACATCTTGGAAACTTAGCCCCAGCTAGCTACAGAAGGAGCTGAAAAAATGGTATCTCTGTTCCGGGCAGGGCCATCATTTTGCACAGCTCCAGGAGTATGCTGTTTGCATTTGTTTCTTTGTCAGTTGAGCCTCCTGAGTTGTGCAGTGAGCTGGCCCTTATTCTGGTCAGCCACGTCCCCAGCTTAAAAATCAGAAAAATCTAACTAAGCGATAGCAAGCACCTCTCTGCCTCCGAGAAACAACTCTCAATTATCATGCAGACTATCTGCCTCTCTCTTCCCAGCAACGCAGCTCTGAATCCTGCAGCCAAAAGCTATTTGTTTGCTCTCCGATAATGGTTCAGAATAAGGATAGAAGGTAATTTTTCTTTCCCATGTCAAATCCGATAGCTTGGCAGCGGCTGTGTGAAACACTGCATTGAGAAGGATTCTGAGGCCAAATTTGTTTATCTGGGCAAAACAGTGAACCCTCTGCGACTTTCTCTTGCCACGAGGTCAACATCTTTTTGTGAATGGCAGAACATTTAACGGAGATGTGCCTCATCCCACTTTTGCTCAGATGACTTAGCAATTCAAAATGAAGACACATTTCCACATGAGCTTAAGCAAACAAAATCACAAATGTGCTTTAAAGCGATAACCAAACCACATAGCAGTTAATAAATTCCTATGTAACTATCCCAATTTTCAAAAGATTGGAGTAGACTATAAAAATAACCAAATGTAGGCCAAGAGACATATAAAAAAATGCTCAGTGTCACTAATCAGAGAGATGCAAATTAAAACAACAATGAGGTATCACCTCACACCTGTCAGAATGGCCGCCATCAACAAATCATTAAACAACAAGTGCTGGCGAGGGTGTGGAGAAAAGGGGACTCTAGTACACTGCTGGTGGGAATGCAGACTGGTGCAGCCACTATGGAAAACAATATGGTGTTACCTCAAAAAATTAAAAATTGAACTTCCATTTGACCCAGTGATCCCACTTCTAGGAATATACCCTAAGAAGCCTGAAACACCAATCAGAAAGAATATATGTACCCCCATGTTCATGGCAGCACTATTTACAATTGCTAAGATCTGGAAACAGCCCTAGTGTCCATCAGTAGACAAATGGATAAAAAAGCAGTGGTACATATACACAATGGAGTACTATGCAGCTGTAAGAAAAAAAGATCTCTTATCCTTTGAGACAACATGGAGGGACCTGGAAAGTATTATTCTAGGAAAAACAAGACACGCAGAGAAAGACAAATATCACATGGTCTCACTTATTTCTGGAATATAATGAACTAAACAAACTGATGAACAAAATAGACCCAGAGTCATAGAAGCAGCGTACACTGACAATCCTCAGAAGAGAGGGAGGGGGAGGAGGGAAAAGATAAACCACAGAACTTGTATGCATGTATGTGTAAACAATGACATAGACAATAATGCTGGGGACAGGGTGGAAGAAGATGGGGAGGAGGGTATCAATGGGGGGGACATCTATAACAAAAATAAATTAATAAAAAAATAGCAAAAAAAAAAAAAAAAGAAGAAACCTATTTAATATTGTTCAACACACACACACGAAAAAACACCAAATGTAATATGTATACTTTTCAAATGTGAGAGAATCAAAGTTAAAAAGTGGAAACATACTTATACGTTCATCCTACAACCCTCTATTGTGAACTTCAAATGCATCAGAGAACACGCTAGGCACTGGACTAATTCATGAAGATGACAGACATGAGTTCCAGAGCCAGGAAATATTGCCCTGGACTGTTTTCCTGGTTCTATTTCATCAACATCTTATCCCCCGTTAGACAAGACGGGGGGAGTGAGAGTTATCATGAAGAAGCACAAGGGGAAAGTTTATAGCTAGAATGTTCGTAAACCTGCCACTTGGGTGAGCCGCACATGCAAATAAACTTACCCTTCTCAGATTCTTTCTCTTTCACCATCACGGGGATGGTGGAGTAAACAGTTCCGCTTAGTTCCCAAGACTGGAACACAGAGAAAACCAATCATTTTTGCATGGACCGTATCCAGGGATACAGATGTGTTAAATGTAATCTATGCATTCTTTTTTCTGCTAATGAGCTAACATAAAATTGCAAGATTCTGCACAAGCATGTAGAATTCCAGCTTCTTTTCCAAAGGCATACCCAGCAATACCCAGCTGGAGAGGGCCATGCTGGCTAGCAGCTCACAGCAGCCCCCCATCTCAGGGCAGCCGCTCCCTGGTTCACCACTGCCCACCCTGCAGTGCCCTCTGCAGGCACCCCATCCCCAGGAAGCACATGCCCAGATGCAGCTCCCTCCTAGCTCCCTGTCAGTGCTCTCTGGCACCTAACTGTCTCCATTCCTCCCACCAGTACACCTCTGCGCTCACCTACGATGGGGTGAAGGTGATGGCCGAGGCTTTCCAGAGCCTGCGGAGGCAGAGAATCGATATATCCCGCCGGGGGAACGCTGGAGACTGCCTGGCTAACCCAGCTGTGCCCTGGGGCCAGGGGATTGACATCCAGAGAGCTCTGCAGCAGGTGAGAACCGGGGTAGCTGCCCGTCGTATGGGAGCCTCGTAGGGCATTTCAGTATGTTTCCAGTGCAATGTAGCTATTTAAAAGAGATGGAGGAGCATGCCTGAACTTTGGAACTCCACTGCACTGTATCTGTGGCTCTTGGCATTATATGGAAGCTCAGGTAGAAATGAAAAACAAACAAACAAACATATGGAACGGTCATTCCTGAGAGTGTAAAAGCTATATTTTCTGCTTAGGGAATATGCTAAAAAGGGAAGCTGGCGAGTCTATGTTTGGAAAGGGGACTTGAAACACACAGGGATGAAACGGAACCATTTCAGTGGTCTCCTGGAGACTGTCTCGCTTGCTCTGGCTTTCAGGATTTCTTCATTCCCTTTGCTTTTTTCTGTGCACATTTCATGAAGGAGCCCTGAACATGTTTCTCAGTACTTGTGGCTCTATTTTCCTGCTTCTCAGTGTTGCAGACATTAATTTTGTTTGCATTTAAGAACAGCTAAAGAGCAAGGATAGAAAACGGTCATGCCCACTCCAATCAATTGGCTATGCAAAGGATTCTGAGGCTACATCCAAATTCAACAGGGAAGAGTATAAATATCCAATTAGTAACATGCTTTGTGCAGAAGAAAGATGAGAAAATGATACACGTGGGCTGTGCATTTAACATTCCTGATTTAGAAGATTCTGGGGACTTGCCCCCAGCTTTATCACTCTCAGAGCTCCTAGAAGTCTCTCTTAGTCTCTAGAAGCCTCTAGAAGCATCTCCAGCCCAGGCTGTGATTCTCGAACTGTGGACAGACAGCACCTCATTATGCCTCTGATGCCTCCTGATAGACACGCTGTATTTCCTAAGGGGACTGGGAGCAGAGGAACGTCAAAGTATCGGGCATAGTGCAAACCAGCAAGGGCAAGATATTTTGGTGCAAATGCCCTCAGGACCCGCCCTCCTATTCCAGGGGAGTGGCCTGGATAAAACCAGCTCTACTTTTTTTTTTTTTTTTTAATCCTCATCCGAGGACATTTTTCCATTTTTTGTACAGATAGAGTAGGAGGGAGAGAGAGGAAGAGAGAGAGAGGGAAACATTGATGTGAAAGGGACACATCGTGTGGCTGCCACCCGCACGACCAACCAGGGCCGGGGACAAACTGCAACCGAGGTACGTGCCCTTAGCGGGAACCGAACCCGGGTCTCTCCGGACCACAGGCGGACGCTCTAACCGCTGAGCCAAACCGGCCAGGGCACCAGCTCTACTTTTAAGATTACATTGAACAGAAGGTGAATGCGGGCCCCTGGAGGAGGAGAGGAACATTTCTGAATGAGGGAGAAATGTAGAGCAAAATGTACAACTATTCCCATTTGTTTTCCAACCACACGTGCACAGCCTCGCAATTTTCACAACCCGGAAAAGGAGACGAGAAGAGAAAGGAACATCACCAGCTGTTCTTCAGCTCAAACGAAGTGCCTTTAAGCGAAGGGAAATAGGTACCTCTGTCCTTCGGAATGAAGCTGAGCAGCAGCCCTGTGACTACAGGAGGATCGTGCTAAGGGGTCCACCGTCCTTTTCGCCCTCCCCTGTCTCTTCTATGCAAACTGGCCCCTAATCACACTGGAGCAATAGCAGATACTAGGCAGCTTCTGAATGATTGCCAGAGGTGCAGCGCCCGCCTCTCGGCTTATTTAAAATGCCCTGCCATACTCCACAGTCGAGACAGATGCTATTTGCAATGTGAGACTGGTTTCAGAAGGTCCCAGGCACCAGCCCTCAGCGTCACAACCCTTTTAACTCCCTTGTCTCTCCCATCTGAATGACGTTCCTGGAAGGATATTCTCACGCCACTGTGACAGTGATGAAGCCTGGGAGGCAACGTGGGTGGCAGGAAGGGCCCTGAACCAGGAAGCAGGAGAGCTAGGTTCCAAGTTCAGCTGGGTCCTCGGCTCTCTTGGTGACCTTGAGGCCATTCAGATCTCCTATAGACGTCCCTTTATTTAGTCATGACCATGAGGAATGTGGGAGAGTCGATTCCTGTGTCTCTCTCTAAGAATTCTAAGCATCTAACTTTTTTTCTCCCTTGGTCTAACCCACATCTTTCTGGTTGTAACACATGCACATTTTTCTGCTTCTACCTTCAGTGGGATTTTCAGGGAGACAGTTACCTTAGTCAAAAGAATAATGACCGCTTTTATATTGTCTTGGAGTCAAGACAGGTGCCTGCTTCTCCTGCAGCCAATCGGCTGCTCCCTGAGAGCACACCCTGGCCTGGGCCAAGCACTGGGGATGATAACAGATGGCAAGAAACCCTCTTCCTTCTCTCCTGGGGGTGGGGAGGCACTAGTCACAAAAACGGAAACAAAAACAAAACCCAACATTCTGACCCTGTTCAAACTGATCAGCTGTTCAAACTGATTCCTTTTCAAAATCCTTGTCAAGTACCTAGAATCACAAGAACGTACTGCTCAGCAATGAATGATGCCCATTTTCCCTCACTTACAGCTGAGGCAGCCAGCCCAGAGTGGGCTGTGATTCAGAGTCACACAGCAGCTTAGCACAAAAGGCTGGGCCAGACCCCCATCCAGGGCTCCTCCTCCTGCTCCAGGCCTGTCTTATGGCCCAGGGGCCTTTGCTTGTACACAGTGACCTCTGGGACCTTCTACTTACAGTCATGGCCACTGTCTGTTCATTTTGCTTTCTAGACCTATCTCTTGAAATAGTCACACAACTAGGGAGCAAGTGTGTGCCCACAATGGGCTGGGAAAGTCCCAGTAACATTTTGTCCTTGGCACCGGGGTCGGGCGCTCAGTCTCTGCTGCCATGACCACTGGCCTTTGGGTCACACATTAGGAGGAAACCTGTGGTTCAGCCTGTGTTAGAGCTGGGATGTCTGTGAGTTAGGCCTGGAGGCCCAGCACCAGCTACCCGGAGAACTAGAATACGAGGGAGTCAAGTTCTAAAAATAATTCCAGTTATGATGTGTGAAGGGCTTACCATGTATAAGAATCTGAACACATATGCACGTTTGATCTCGTTGAATCCTAAATATATTACTCTGAGGTAGCTAGTTTTATTAATTGAGCTTTGTAAATGGAGAAGCTGAGCTTCAGAAATGCTAAAAATGTCTTCCCAAAATCATGTAGCTAGTTAGTGGCAACACCGGAACTCCACCCCACATTGACTTGCTACCTCACTCTGTATACATAATTGCTCTGCTCGGAAGCCCGGAAGGTCCAGCCCAGGGGAGACACAAGAACTGTGGCCCAGCTAGCATCAAACAGCACACAGTCTTGGGTAACATCCATATACTCCCACCCTCACCCTGCTACAATGTCTCCAGCAGCATCAGCCGCCTGTCTGCCCGTGCCTGACACCCAGGGAGCCATTCAGAATATTAATGAGCTCACATCCTGGAAGCCAGGAGGCATCAGAGTGATCAGATGTTGACTCTGGCTGGCAGAGAAGACCCAGCTCCCCAAATTAGGCTTAGCCTCTGGGGGTCATAGATCCTTCGAGGATATAATTTTTAAAAGCTTTGGACTCTTTTTCCCAGAAAAGCACACACATGTACCTGCACGTACATGTGTATAACCGGGAGGTGAGGGCATCATAGACACGTCAGAAAGCCCATGCCAGGACCTCAAGTGTAGGATATGGGCTCTTCCCTCTCAGTCTTTGTTCACAGTCGGCCAGGCAATGATCAAGGATATCAGTGTGAAGGTATGCCTAGCACTTCGCTGGATAAGGTCTGGGATGGGGTGGCAATGGGGGTTAAAGATAGTCCCTGCCTTTCGGGTGCAAGACCCAATTTGGAAGAGAAGACAAGCTCCTGAGAAGTGATAGCTATAAAGCTGTGGATGACGAGCTAAATGTCAGCTGGGTTCTCGGTGCTCTGAATGGTCAGAGCAGAAGGCTATGACTGAGGAGTGTGGACATCAGCAAGGCTTCCTGTAGGAAGGCACTGGGGCTTTTCAAAGGGTGACCATATAATTAATCACCCAAATGGGGACACCTAAGACCGAAAGGGAGAGCTACTACCAATGATTTCAGAATGAGAGATGTAAACTGGACTATCCCAAACACGCTGAGATTAAAGGAAGGGTGCATTTGAACCGACAGTGAACGGGCTTTGGAGGGTCTGGATGGGGATGTAAACGAGACCCAGCAGGAGACCAGAGCGAGGGTGCGAGTCAGGTCTGTGGGCATCCCACCTGGCCGTTAGGGAGCTAGGAAGAGAAGAGCTGGATTCTAGCCATGGCTCCATCACGCACTACCTGGGAGGTCTTGGACTAATTGCTCACCTTCCCTGGCATCGATTTTCTCATCTGCTAAATGGACATAATCCTCTTAGTACTGCTTCCCTCCCTGGCTTGTCACAGGCTCAAAAGAAAAGAAAAACAGGATAATGAGCTTCTTTGAATCTCAGAGCCCCTGCATGAGATAGTTAAAGCCAAGATTATTCTTCTCATTGTTCAAGTGGGAAAGGGAACACTCAGAGGGTCCTGAGACTTGCCCTGGCCAGCATCAGCAGACGTGGTCCACTGGTCCTAGCCTGATTTCCGATACCTAGTGAGCATTTAGGAGAGGTCACGAGGATGAATTCATTTGAAGGCAGCCACAAAAAAATTAAATAAGCCTTGGTCCGGAGCAGCCCCACTGCCTCCCCAGGGATGGAGGGGAGCCCTCACGGTTGATGCCTTACGTAGTAGAAACAAGAACCAGGCCTTTCCTGGCGCCAGACAGGAAAGAAGTTACTCTTCAGCCTCGCACAGGTTGCTGCACCCAATACCATTGACAGAAAAACCAATTTTAAATCCCCATCTTCACAGAAGGAGTTGGCAGACACCCGGATGGTGATGGGAATTCCAGGAGCAGAATCTGAAGGGAAACTTCAGGTCCCCATCAGTCTGACCCTCGTCACTCCAGGGGGCAGGTGGGAGAGGGAGGCGATTCCAGGGGCTCAGTCTTGATGGATAGGACAGCAGGTTCCAGATACCCCTAAAATGAATATTTTAAGAAGCTCCTTCCTTTGACTATGAGTCCTAGCTATACACATAAAGAATTTGGGGCTGAGCTCTTGTCTTCAGCTTTTCCTTGTTCTGCTATCATGGAAGGGTCATTCAGGAATGTCTCCTTTCCCATACATTGATTTATCTTTTTTAAAAAGTGTGTAAGTGTTGGCTTCCCTAACTAGCCAGTAAGAGCCTCCAGATGCCCCAGGCCTCTCGTGACTTACTGTGAATTCTGAACCCAGTGCCATAAGCTCTGGATCTCAAGGATCCTATCTGTAAAGTGGGCAAAGTCACCTCTGCTCTCCATACTCACTGCGTTTCTGTGAACATCACATAGGAAGTTGTTGTAAAGACACTGTGACAACACAAGGGTTCCCGCAGTCAGTAGAACTTTTGCTGATAATGATCTGTTTTTGGAAACTGAAAAAGGCACGTAATCGCGATCGTGACGAGACCCTCATTTTTGCTGAAAGAGTCCCCTGCTCTGAGACAGAACTCACTGGGCCCAAGGCTTCAGTGTTAAGTCTTCTTATTCCCCATACGTCTTACCCGCTCTACATGGCACAGTGGTCGCCATCATCCTCTAAACAATATACACCATGCACTGAACATTGATGTCCCAGACAATACACAAAGCATTTCCAACGTCTGAGGAGCAAACGGAGGAACAGTAGGCAGTGATTTGCTCATGGACACGTAATTAGGAGTTAACAGAGCACAGCCCGGGGAAGGTCCAGCTGGCACAGCAGGTGGCAGCAGGAGGCACGTGCAATGCAGTACTTGGCACATTTCTGTATCACCCCCTCAGAGCCCGGTACAGTAGCAGTACCCCGTGTTTGAGGCCACTTGGTATCGTAAGTGAAAATAGCAGAATGTATCAGAAGCTCTAGATTTTAGGTCTGCCTCTGACACCAAGACATAAATCTTGAGCAGATCCCTTTACCTACAAGAGTTCTGCTTTCTCCCATGGAAGTGAAGGTGATGCTCTCTAAACGGCACGCCTCACGGGGCTCCTGTGAATCAAGGTAAAGTGATACACGTGATGGTGCTTCCGTAACATGGAACACTCGGAAAGAGGTCGTAGTAGCAACATTGCTGTTAGTGACAATGACAATAACGGCTGGCCTTTGCTGAATACTCACCATGGCCCAAGCATTGATCATAAAATATCTTATTTAATCCTTAAAATAATCTTAAGATACACTTAACACTAATTGGTCTCATTAAACAAACAAGGAAGTGGTCATGGAGACATCATGTCATTTGCCACTGATAATTGGTATGAAACTTGAGACTGAAGCCAAAATGCAGATGCCCGTTTGGATCATGAATGACCTCGCTCCGTTTGGGAAAAACAGCCTGCTTCCCAGTCCTCCACACATGCACCTGGTCTGCTTTGCCAAATGGGCCACTTAAGCGGGTACTAAGCAACCCTTACACCTGAAGGAATGAGAAAGCTAAGAACAGGCAGGAGATGGCCAAGGTGAGGGGAAGGCAAGGTCGCTGGAAGATGGGGAGCACGTCCTTTTCTTACTCTTTATAGCGGGGCCTGTGCGTTGTCTTCTCCCTGAAACGCAGAGCCAGACGAGACTTCTCCAGAATGAGCATCTCCCCAGATTCAACCTGAGAGTGAGAAGAGGTTGCCAGGCAGTTTGCTCAGCACTTGGGGCCGCCACAGCCGCCCTGCTGGGAATTCAAGCCGGAAGGTGATGGGAGAGTCAGCCTCAGCCTCAGAGCAGACATCCATATACTGTCCGTCTCTGTCTGTCTGTCTGTCTGTCTCTTTCACACACACACCAACTATCTTTATACCTTCTGAAGCCAGAGGAGTTGGTCACTGTCAGGGAAAGATAAAACCCTGCAAGGATTCCTTTTAAGCTCTTTGAGGAGGGGAGATAAACAGTGCTGAGCCCTGGCCGGTTTGGCTCAGCGGTTGGAGCGTCGGCCTGCGGTACAGAGAGACCCGGGTTCGGTTCCCGCTAAGGGCACGTACCTCTGTTGCAGTTTGTCCCCGGCCCTGGTTGGTCGTGCGGGTGGCAGCCACTCGATGTGTCCCTTCACGTCAATGTTTCTCTCTCTCTCTCCCTCCCGCTCTATCTGAACAAAAAATGGAAAAATGTCCTCGGGTGAGGATAAAAAAAAAAAAAAAAAACAGTGCTGAGTTCTAGGGCCAGCTTCGCACTGTTACAGCTCGAGACGCATCTCCCTGGCCTCAGGCCAGACTGATCTGCGGATACAGCTGGTCACCACTAGACAGTGTGGTTTCTGGTGCCTGAGGCCTGAGCCAGTGATATGCAGCTGGACTCATCCTCAGTTTGGGGGTGGACTCGAGGGGGATTTATTGGTTACCTCCAGAGCGGCAGGCGTGGCCCAGAAAGACTCAGATCCCGATGGTGACCACAGGACCTTCAATACGAGCGTGTAGATATGAGGCCATGAACGTTTAATCTGATTCCTCTGTGGAGAAGAAACCCCACGCCGCATCCTCTAGGGCCCCCGTGCCAATTTTGTTTTAACCAGCCGAGACCTGCTTCAAGCCCTGCCCTGCCCTCTTCTTTAACACGAACTGTTTTCGCGGGTGATTTTTAACCTTCCATAGCACTTTCCTCTGCTGTGTCATTTAAGTACATGGCACAGGAATTTCAGAAACTGGAGGCTTAGAGAGGTGACTTGCCCAAGGTCACTCAGCTGCTCCGAGGAAAGATGGGGTCAACGTCAGGTCTGCCAATTCCAAGTCCTTAGATGCCCAAGTATTTTACTCTCTGGCCTCACAAAGGAACTAAGAAACCACATCCAGCCCTGGCCAGTTTGGCTCAGCGGTTAGAGCGTCGGCCTGCGGTCCAGAGAGACCCGGGTTCGGTTCCCGCTAAGGGCACGTACTTCGGTTGCAGTTTGTCCCCAGTCCTCGTTGGTTGTGCGGGTGGCAGCCACTCGATGTGTCCCTTCACGTCGTCTCTCTCCCTCCCACTCTATCTGTACAAAAAATGGAAAAATATCCTCGGGTGAGGATAAAAAAAAAAAAAAAAAACACATCCAAGCACAGCTCAAGGTACCATCAGCCAGTCTCTGGTCCAGGTCTTCTCCTGACTTTTCAGGGATGGCCCACCAGCCCTCTCCTTTGCTGGCCTCCTTTGGTTTCTTCACCTGAAGGAGTGTGTCTGGGGAGGGTGGTGCTCATGGAGGTTTGAGTGTAGGTGGCACAGAGATGTCTTATTAGAATTGCCTCTGACCCATTGCTACTTTTAGCCTAAGCAATCGGTAAAAAAAAAAAGTTTTTGGAATGAATTTCAGTTTCGTAGGAAAAAGGACTATGCTCTCCTAGTGGTGCCTGCTATGGGCAAGGCAATAGGGAGATTTTTAGTATTGATGCAACTCCCAGACCTCATGCCGTGTAACATGCCGGGGTTCTGGGTTATAACCTCAGCAGAAAAAGCCAACAGAGAGGAAGTGCAGCTTGTGAGCTCATTGTTCGCTGCTTGCCTTGGTCTCCCAGGTGCGGTTCGAAGGCTTGACAGGGAACGTGCAGTTCAATGAGAAAGGACGCCGGACCAACTACACCCTCCACGTGATCGAAATGAAGCATGATGGCATCCGAAAGGTAAAGGCCCCTTTGCGTCCGTCCCACAGGGGGAGAGAGGGCTGGGCCGAGGCTCAGGCCAGAGCTGAGGGCCTCGGGAGCCCACCCTTTCTGGTTGGATCTTTTCGAAGGGTCTCGCAAAAATGAGAATTCTAGATTCAGCTCTGCCACCAACCAGCTGGACCTCGGGGCAAGTCCGTTCCTTTCTCTGAGAATAGAGCCTCTCACCTGCAAAATGGACATAAAAATCTCGACCTTGTCTCTGGGTGCCTGTGAAAAGCCAAGAAATGGTCGAGTACTTTGAAATTACAAAGTAATAGATGTGTATAAAATGCCACTGCTATTCCTGAGGGATTCAGAAGTAAGAACGTGACGGCGATGGCTATTGATCATCCTGTCCTAATCCACACCTGGTCATTTTACTCCAATTCCCATACAGACGTAGGGATGAAAAACATAGGTGTGTGTATATATGTGACATAGAATATGGATGGATAGTAAAATTTTTAGAATAACATTCAAATGCTTGAAAAAAAGCATTCAGAATTCTATCAGATCCTATATGTTCTGGGCTCCACCCATGTCTCCGAACTTGACCCTTGACACTCACTTCCTTCCTCTCTCCACTTCAGTCACTCTGATCAACTTCCACTTCCTCGAATAGACCACGTTCTTTCTCATCTTCACACATGTGCCTGTGTCTAGGTCAGGATTTAAATCTCTGCTGAACTCTTTATTAGGCATGTGACCTTAAACAAGTGATTTAGCCTCCCTGGACCTCAGTTACAACATCTCCAAAGGGGGATACCCCTTACCTCACAGGGTTACTGACCGAGTTCCATGGCCTGTGGTGAGGGATTCTCAAATGTAGCGCCTGGGGGGTAATGGACATTCACCTGTGTTGTTTGTTTGTTTTCTGTTTTTGTTTCAAAGCCATTTTTTAAGCCACAGGACTATTTTTGTTAGCCTTGACTCTGCACAAGTCAGGTGGAGTTAGCCCACAGAATGGATAAATCAGCAGACAGAAGAACAGAGTAACCTCAAAATCCACAAGCAAATGGTTGTGCTTTATTTTTCCGACCCTGAGGCTGTGTTTCAACTTCCTTTCCAGTGACTAAATCCTTTCTTAGAATGTGGGCTTAAGCATCCTTTGTTTACAGGGGATCTGAATTTCAGAAAATCAATTTCTCTACATCTGTGGCTTCAGGCCTTTTTCTCAATCAGCCTCCCAGCAAAGTAATTTCTCACGTTGGAGGGTGACCTAGTTGTGCCGGCTGCGGCTTCGGTGAACTACCTGCTGGAGATAAATAAGAGGAGCTGCTGCTGCCTCTTGATCCAGGGCCACGAGAACACCCTCCTGAGCCCCAGGCCGTATCCTGCCCACTGACCCTCCAGGTGTCTGGGTCCGATTTGACACCCCACTGAAGTGTGTGCTCTAGGCATCCATCCATCCGCTGTTTCGGAGCTTTAAATGCCAGACTTGGCACCGGCTGCGCTCAACCTAGTCCTCAGGAGGTCCCACTCGGAGATTCCATTCCTGCGGGGCACTAATGTGCAGGGGTCTCTATTCAAACAAAATGCCTCCTCAGTGCAGGTGGGATCACAAATTCTGACAAATGGGCGCCTAGGGAGAAGTGTAGAGAAAATTCCCCAAGGTCTTTCATCAAGGGACCAGCACTGTCGATCTCACCACCTGTCCTGGACCGAGTTCTGCACCTGATTGAGGTCATCTACTTCTCATTTCAACTTGATGTGAGTCCTGAGTCCTGCCCTGCCCCAAGTTGGCCGTTCCCATTCGGATCCTGTGTATAACTGGAGAGGGAAGAAGGCTAAAGTGATACAAAGCCCTGCTGATGTCAAGAGTAATCGGAAGTCCCAAACAATCAACGACCCTTCCTTCCGTTTGTCCTTTGGATGTTTTGCTTTAAATCCTCGCTACCCGACTTTAGACATACCATAGCCTGTTACAGCTCTAAGATATAGCTTCAATTCAATCACTTTTCTCCAAGATCACTTCTGACCCCAGAGCCCAAGCCACCACCACACCTGCCGGGACTCACCCAGAGCCTCCGTACCAGCCACCAGCCCTGCTGTCTGCCTTCTTGCCTATTTTTTTTCTACCACAAGAGCCAGGATAATAACTTTCAAATATACTTCAGCTTATACTGCTCCTCTGCTCAAATTCTTCACTAGCTTCCTGTTGCGGGTGAAATATAGTATAACTCCTTCCTGTGGCCTTCAGAACCCGAGATGCTGCTTCGCTGTGGCTCAGCTCTCGGTCCGTTTTCTCTCGTTTGTGGCTTCCCAGCTACACTGGCATCTTTCTGCTTCTCTGCCTGGATTTCCTATCACTGTATTTCCATGTGCTGTGTTTCTCCTCCTTCAGATCTATCAGGTGGGGTCACGTGGGAGACCCCACCCCTGACCCAGCTGCCTACAGTAGCCCCCACCCCCCAGCACAGTCACACGGCTCCCCTGACGTTTTCATAGCACTTTTCTATTCTGATACGGTCTTGTCGGTTCCCCGATCTGGATGGGGGTTGGAAAACTTCAGCCTGCAGGCCAGATCCAGCCCCCTGCCTGTTTTTGTCCAGCCTGTGAGTAATGGTTTTATATTTTTGAATGGTTGGACTAAATCAAAAGATGATTATTTCATGATGTGAAAATGATATGACAGTAAAATATCGATATCCATAAATAAACTTCTTTGGGAACACAGCCACACCATTTGTTTATATTTTGCTGTGGCCGCTCCTGCATCCCATCAGCAGAGATGACAACCTGCAGCAGAGCCGGTAGGACCCAGAAAGCCTACAGCGGTCACCATCTGGCCCTTTACAGATAAAGTGTGCAGACTCCTGGCCCAGATACGTATTCTCTTTCCTCCCCTCTTCTCCACCTCCTTAATATTAAAACATTTAAAAGCAGGACTAGATGTCTAAAAGCAGGGACCACAGGTGTGTTATATACCATGTCCCCAGTAAGCACATGCAAATACAGTAAGAGATTGTTTGTTACATGAGTGGGCAGTTTATTGAATGTTGCTGGGAAACCAGGGAGCACAATGCTCTGGCCCATATTTTCATAGATCTGCCAGAAAAGTGAGGAAAAAATAAAATACCAACAAATTTACTGAAAAAACACCTCAAGCAGAACGCAAAGTCACACATAAACATATTAAGTTTAAGTTCTTTAAGTGTGTAGTTCAAATAACTCCAGGTGCAGTCATAGATATTCTCTGAAATCTCAGGTGAATGCAATAGAAGTTTAATTCTTTTTTTTTTCTTTTTTATTAATTTTTGTTACAGATGTTTCTCCTTTTTCCCCCACTGATTCCCCCCTCCCCCTCTCTCCCTGCCCTGTCCCCAGTTTGTTGTCTATGTCCACTGTTCATGCATACATGCATATAAGTTCTGTGGTTTATCTCTCCCCCACCACCCCCTTTTCTGGGGATTGTCAGTCTGTACCCCATCTCCACGTCTCTGGGACTACCCCATTCCTCAGACTGTTATGTTCATTATATTCCACAAATAAGTGAGGTCATATGATACTTGTCTTTCTCTGTTTGGCTTGCCTCACACAGGATAATACTCTCCAGGTCTCTCCTTGTAGTCTCAAAGGACAAGAGATCTTTCTTTCTTACAGCTGCATAGCACCTGTGTATGTACCACAGCTTTGTTATCTATTCGTCTACTGATGGACACTTGGGCTGTTTCCAGATCTTAGCTATTGTAAATAGTGCTGCTACAAACATGGGGGTACATATATTCTTTCTGATTGGTGTTTCAGGCTTCTTAGGGCATATTCCTAGAAGTGGGATCACTGGGTCAAATGGAAGTTCAATTTTTAATTCTTTGAGGTAACACCATATTGTTTTCCATAGTGGCTGCACCAGTCTGCATTCCCACCAGCAGTGTACTAGAGTACCCTTTTCTCCACACCCTCGCCAACACTTGTTGTTTGATGATTTGTTGATCGCCATTCTGACAGGTGTGAGGTGATACCTCATTGTTGTTTTAATTTGCATCTCTCTGATGATTAGTGATGATGAGCATTTTTTTATATGTCTCTTGGCCATTTGTATGTCCTGTTTGGAGAGGTGTCTATTTAGTTCCTTTACCCATTTTTTAATTGGGTTCTTTGTCTTCTTTTTGTGGAGTTATATGAGCACTCTATATATATTAGAAATTAACCATTTATCTGATATATTATTGGCAATTATGCTCTCCCATACAGTGGGTAGCCTTTCCATTTTGATAATTGTATCTTTCGCTGTGCAGAAGCTTTTGAGTTTGATGTAGTCCCATGTGTTCATTTTCTCCTTTGTTTCTATTGCCTTAGGTGATGTATCAGTGAAAATTCTGTTGCGTATGATGTCTGAAATTTTGTTGCCTACAGTTTCTTCTAGGATTTTTATGGATTCGTGAGTCACATTTAAGTCTTTTATCCATTTTGAGTTCATTCTTGTGTAGGGTGTAAGTTGATGGTCTAGTTTCATTTTTCTGCATGTAGCTATCCAATTTTCCCAGCACCATTTATTAAAGAGGCTGTCCTTACTCCACTGTATGCTCTTGCCCCCTTTGTCACATATTAATTGAGCATATTGCCTTGGGTCCATTTCTGGGTTCGCTGTTCTGTTCCACTGGTCTATATGCCTGTTCTTGTGCCAGTACCAGGCTGTTTTGATTACAGTGGCTTTGTAGTATAACCTGAAATCTGGTAATGTGATCCTTCCAACTTTGTTCTTCCTTTTCAAGATTGCTGTGGCTATTCGAGGTCTTTTTTAGTTCCATATGAACTTTTGAAGTACTTGTTCTAATTTTGTGAAGTATGCCATTGGTATTTTGATGGGGATTGCATTGAATCTATAGATTGCTTTGGGTAATATGGACATTTTAATGATGTTAATTCTTCCAATCCATGAACAAGGTATGTGCTTCCACTTTTTTATATCTTTCTCTATTTCTTTTTTCAATGACCTGTAGTTTTCTGCGAATAGGTCCTTATTTCTTTGGTTAAGT